GATGTCGGAAATGTCAGCAGTGTGCCTGCTTGGTGTTGGCACCGTGGCTTCCCAAGCTGTCTGCCTGACTCAAGGTGTGCTGCATGCAGCAGTCACCAAACACTGTGGTCCCGTGGAATAGCACCTTCCCAGGGAATACCTTTGTTTCAGATGTGTTCTGGGCTCTCCTCCCTACAGCTCCCCACAATGTTGCCTTCGTGCCTTTAAGCAGCGAATTGTTCCTGCATTTGGACAAAGGACAGAAGTCATGGGGTGATTCGGGCTGTGAGCACCTCTGAGCCCTGCTCTGAGCAGGGTGATGCCAGGCTGGGTCCAGTTGGAATCATTGCACACTGAAAACTCTGTGGCAATTCATGGAATCATAGAACAGCCTGGGATGAAAAGAGCCACAATGCTCATCTAGTTTCAATTCCCCTGCTATGTGCAGGTCACCAACCAGCAGACCAGGCTGCCCAGAGCCACATCCAGACTGGCCTTGAATGCCTGCAGGGATGGGGCATCCACATGGATTCATGGAATCACAGGATCATTTAGGCTGGAAAAGACCTCTAAGACCATCAAGTCCAACCAAATCCTGAGCACAGGGATGCTGGCAATGAAACTGAATGAGAGCAATTGTCCCAGAAACACATAAAAAATAGGCAAATTTCGGTTTAGAACACATTTCCTCCAGGCTGCAGAGATGCAGGTAACGTGGGCAGCTCCCATCTCATCTCAGCCCATCACCCAGCCAGATGTCAGCCCTGCTGCAGCCGGCGACAGCGCTAGGTGGCAACCCCGCACCGCCGAGCAGCCTCGCTGCGCCTGAGCCGAAGCTTATCCGTCCCTTTCCGGTAATTAGGGACAGGGTAGGGCTTCGGTCCTTCCCCCCTTTCTGAAATCTCAGTCTGTTTTCTTCTCCAGCAGAGCCAGCCCTTTGTGCTCCTTGCCACCCCGGGTATTCTTCCAAACCCTTCTACAAATTCTTCAAGATTTTTTTTTTCACGTTCATTCTTCATCTGGTTAATTCTTCTGCCACTTCTCAGAGCTCTCACCTTAAGCATTTTGGGAGCACAACGGGCTGGCTTGACTCTGCAACACTTTAAAGCCGTCCGGGCTCAAGCCCAGCGGTGCAGTGACAGGGACTTTGCCATCAATCAATCCTCTTCCCGTTAAGACATCACCAGCGTCACCAGGACGGGCACGGAGCAGCTCCCATCGGCCTCCCCTGTGCTCCCCGCTTCCTCCCGGTGCCGGGCCCCAGCACGGCACGGTGCGGTGGCACATCTGGTGGCACGGGGAGATCCGCGGCACAGCCGGGAGCAGCCGGTGCCCTGCGGACGGATGCGTGGAGAGTCCAGATCTTCGCCTTCAGATCCCCGCACGGATCCCCCGCCGTCATTCCCGAGGGATGGATCCCTCCCATCTGCAGGAGGGTTGGGCGCAGCGCCTCGAAATGCAGCAGGCGTGTATGTTTTCAGGAAGCCGCCACCTTGCGCTGGCGGAAGTCAGCACCACAGGTTTGCCCCTTGGAGGCTGGGGAGGGTGAGTCATCCTCCAGCCTCTGCCCCTGAATCCCAGCCAAGGCATAAAAGCTTTTACCGCAGCCAGACACAAAACAGCCATCAGCAAGACACCAGAGCCCGGCTCTGGGCTGAACCTCTTTCAGGGAGGTGACAACTCCAGGATGCTGTCACCGCCAGCTTGACTGGCCACCGGGGCTGCCCGCATCCTGGCCATGTGGCCGTGGTGTGGTGGGGACCGGGGTAAGGACACTGCCGCCCTCAGGAGGTGACACACACACCTGGCTCCTTAAAGGAGCAGTTTTCCGTGATAAAAGAGGGATGAGAGCATCCATTTGTGGCCACATAGATGGCCGTGGGAATCTCTGTGAGGGGATGGAAGGGGGGAGAAAGCTCTGCTGTTCCCCACCCGTAGCTCCCTGCAGGGCCAGCACGGGAATCCACACATACAGTGGTGCTGCAGCACTGAGGGCACAGCTACTGTGCTGGTGGGAGCACGCTTCAGCTTCAAAATGTGCCCGTGCTCTCCCGCATCCTTTGCACAGCCCAGAGACAGAAGCTGGGGTACCCATGCACAGTCACCAGACAGATCTGGGCTGGAGGCCCCTGACACAGCCCTGAAAGCTGAGCATCTTCCAACCCACTCCAGTGGCACAGGTTTTGGCACCCGTTTTGGCACCTGCTAGGGACAGCTCTGTATCATGCATCAGAGCTGCACCTTCACAATATAAAAGCAGGTTGGAAATGGATTTTCCCATCGCATCCGCCCAAAGGCTGCAATGGAAACAATCCTAGAAAGCGTGGATGAGATTCTGGGAGCGTTCCTCACCTCCCATCCCTAGGGCTACAGCCAGGCACAGCTCTGCATGGGGTGCTGCTGCCCACGCCCTAGGGGACCCCTGCCCAACCCAGGGCCAGAGGGGATGCACGCAACGCAGCGCTCTGCGCCATTCCCGGGGGGCCATGCAGCAACCGTGCTAGGGTGGGGATGCTCCGCAGTGCTGCAGCCATGGTAGGAAGCAGGATGCCTGAATGCTTGGAGACACGGCTCCAAAGTACCAGGGCCTCCCTCGCCTGCGGTCACTGAGGTTGGGGGGACATTCACCTGGCTGTGGGTGCAGCCATGAGTTTGCTTGGCGGGTGCTAGGAGGGCCAGAGATAAAGGGCTCAGACACCACCAGTGACGCGGCACATGGCGCATGCAGGACCCCGCAGGGGCTCGCACCCCAAAGGCAGTGCCCAAGGCTCACCCACCCATGCCACATCCCTGCCATCGCTGATCTCAGGGCCTGAGCTGCTCCCACCCGTGCAGCTTGGGGATGGGGACACGGGGCAGAGCTTCGGGTCTCTCTGTCACCATCCAAGCAGGGATGGGATCCCATGCCGGGATGGGACCAGGGACACCAAATTCCTAGCAGTGCAGGAGGTGGCACAGCCCAGGGAGAGGCACAGCAGGGTGTGAACAGCTCTGGGGGCTGCCTCTCCCTCCCTCCCTGCCTCGCCGGGGGAAACGCGCCCGGACCCTCCCAAAGAGAATAAAGTCCAGGGAAAGAAAAATCCTACCTGCCTCTGATGGGCGGACGGACGGAAGGGCTCTGCAAAGGCGCGGAAGGACGGGGCAGGGGCAGGGGGTCGGGGAGGAAGGAGAGGGGCAGAGCGGGGAGGGGAGGCCGGGGGCGGAGGGGGAGGCGGCAGGGCGCGGCGGGGCTGGCTCCGAGGCGGCGGCAGCCGGAGCTGTGCGTCCTGCCCGGCCCCGCAGGCCCTGCCCACCCCGCCGAGCTGAGCCCACCCCGTCCTCATCCTCACCCTCATCCTCCCGTTGCCGCCCGCAGCACCTGGGGACCGCCACCGGCAACACCGCGGGGTGACAGCCCTTGGTTTTCGGGGAGCCCTGCCACAGCCCGGCGGTGCGATTGGAGGTGCGCCGTCCTAAGCGGGAAGGACCTTTGGGGCGGGCGGTGGCAGCGCGGTGGCACCGAGACGCAGCTGCTGGGGCGTGGGGCCGGGAGGTGCTTCGGGGGTCCCAGCGGGTGCAAGCAGCACCCGGCAGCGCCCCCAGTCCGCATCGAGATGCTGTAGGACATATTGGAGGGTCCTGACCCCTATAAATAAGCAACGAGCCCGCAGGGCCTCTCTTTGAATGGAACGAGGGCAAAACGAGAATACCCCGGCGAATCCTGTGCGCACCCAGGCTGCATCCACCCTCTGTGTCCCGCACCCGAACAACACTTTCGGGCTCCGATTGTTTGTCTGAGATAAGGAGGAAAAATACAGAAACAAAATAAATGCGGACTTGTGGAGATCGACGGGAGTCCCCTGCAGCGGGGGAAACAGAGTTCTGCCCGCCGGGGCTGCGCGCAGTGAGGCGTTATGGAGCAGAAAGCCCCGGGTTGGGACCTCCGCCAGGCGGGCGCGGGGCTATGAATATTTCATCGGAGCAGCCGAGGGCTGTCGGGTCGCATCGCTTCTGGCACAGTGACTGCCGGGGGCGGAGGTGGACACGCGCAGCCCGGCCCACGCTGCGGGCAACGGGATGGATGGGGCGGAGCATTCGGAGTTGATGCCCGTTTGTGGCTTTCTGCGCTATTTATGGAGTGATGGATATCCCCGCCGGGACGTCGAAAGTGCTCCCATCGCCCCTGGAGTGCAGCGGGGTGGCCGGGACAGCAGCGGGGACGCAACGGAACAAGGCGCTGCTGCGGCTCGGTGGCACAGAGCGAGGAACCACCGGCACTTGCGGCCTGGCCCCGAGAAGCCCGGAGAGGTGCGCGACGCACGGACGCCGGGAGGATCCGTAGGCAGAGGTCTAAGGGGCTGCAAGCCGACGAAGGAACCCGGCTGGGGCTGGCCCTTCCAGGCAGCGCGCCCTTCCTCCTCCTCCTCCTCCTCCTGTTCTGTCTCCTCCTCTTCCTTCCGCCCGCAGCACTGTGGGGGCTGTAGTCTCCTTACCCCCGCGCACATGGGATGAGACTACATTTCCCGGGTTACCCCGGCTCTTCCCTTCTTCCCCCCCTTCCCCCCCTCCCCCCAGTTTCGTTCTACTTCTCTTCGTCTTCATCCCGCTTCTGCAGCAGCGGGGCCGCCCGCGTCCCTATGCCCGCCCCCGCGCAGGTACGGCCGGGAACCAGGGGGGCACTGGGATGCAGGGAGCCGCGGTACCGAGGATGCGAGGGATGCGGCGTGCGGGGATCCGGGCACCGCGCACTTCACTCCTCTCCCACGTGCATCTCAGACCTGGCGCTGGAGGCGCACCCGTCCCTCGGCTCCGGAGATGGGGGGCTGAGAGATGCCCTTCAGGAGGTGTATTTTGGGGGAGGGGGGGGGCAGTTTGTGGGGAAGTTACTGCAGTCGGTCGTGCATCCCACCCCTCCCTGCCGGCTGGGCCCCTTCCCACCGCAGCCCCCGAAGCGCTTGTCCCCGTCGTGGGATGGGCATCCCCGCAGGCGGGTCGGGCTCTACGGGTCGCTGTGCCGCCGTTTGGCCGCCCTCGGCCCTTCCTCAAGGTCACAGCCGCCGTGCTGCCCTCCTCACGCGTGCCTGCGTCTCGCCCGGAGCCCCGCACGAAAAAGCCCTTTGCATCCCGTATGGCTTTCCGTAGGGCTGCCGTTTGACAGCCCGATGGCAGGACCCCTCCGTGGGGACGAATCCGCGCGGGCCGGCGCTGGCCGTGAACTTGCGGTTATTTGGGGATAGGGCTTAGGAACAGCGCGGCGGAGCCCTGCGCTGAGCGGATCACGGGATTTGTAGACCTTGGTCCCGGTGGCACGGATTCCTGCGCACACGTGGAGCTTGGCCAGCACTGCCGGGTAGGGAGGAGTGCTGGGAGGACAGCGGGGCATGGGGCGTTCGCTGCGAGAGTGAGGAAGGGAGGGAGCTTCATTCCTCCGCGGAGCTGCAGACCCCTTTTCTTTCTCTGTTTTGCACGTGGCCTCCCTCGTATGGCTTTGAAATGCCAACTGGAAGGGGAACGGCATCCAAGAGCCTGATGTCTGGGAAGACAGATGCAGGCAGGGATAGGGAACTTTGTGAACGTGGACATTGGCAGCTGTGGGGTTGCGTGAAATGGAGCAGAGGGATTTCTGCATGGGGTTTGCAGTCGTAGAATCATTAAAATAGGAGAAGACCACTAAGATCATCTAGTCCAACCACCAACCCCATTCCACCATGTTCCTCGGTGCCACATCTCTGTGTTTCTTGAACGCATGCAGGGATGGTGACCCCCTGGGCAGCCTGTTCCCATGCCTCACAACACCTTCTAAAGAAAGATTTCCTACTGTCCTGGCCCAGCTTAAGGCCATTCCCTCTTGCTCTATCGCTGTTACCTGTGAGAAGAGGCCAGCCCCCACCTCACCACAACCTCCTTTCAGGCAGCTGTAGAGAGTGATGAGTTCTGCCCTAACTGAACAATCCCAGTTCCCTCAGCTGCTCCCCATAGGACTTGTGCTCCAGACCCTGCTCCTGTAGCGATGCATGGGATTGCTGTGACTGCAGTGCAGGACCTGACACTCGGTCTTGTTGAAGCTCATTCCATTGGCCCAGTGGTCCAGCCTGTCCAGATCCCTCTGTAGGGCCTTCCTACCCAAACGTAGATTGACTCTTCCCAACAACTTGATGTCATCTACAAACTTACCAACAATGTGCTCAATCTCCTTGTCCAGACCGTGAATAAAGATAGTAAACAGGGCGAGCCCTAATACATAACAGCATAGGCAGAAAAGCAGCTCCTGGAAGTGTTTTCTGAAAGCCTGTGTAGTCATCGGGGGTCTGTGCCTTCCCCATCCCATCCCGTGACTGCTAATCAGTCATGGTGCCAAGTTCAGGGATTTGGACATTAATCCTCTAGCAGACCGTGAATCTCATGGCAGTTCAGTGCACTTCTCTCCTCTCCCTGACTGTTGCTGCTTGAGCGTAACACTCTGGCACAGCTTTAGGTGATGCCATTATCTTTGGGTCCTCTGAAATCCCATGGCCTAGCCCCTGTGAAAATGCACCCAAAGGGCAGCATTGCTTTGGGCAGGGGGCAAAACTCCCCTGCCTTTAAAGCAGGCAGCAGTGCGGTGGGTGGGGGGATGGACAGCCCCACCACAGTGCATCCGTAGGATCTTGAGGCATGCTTTGAAAACACCGCCTGAAACGGAGGGCCCCCTTTGGCAAAGTAAAGCTCTTTTTGATCTCCGTGGGTTCACATTGTTGCAAGAACATCTCCTGGGGAGAAATGTTAGTGGTTTATTTGTGTTGCTGTTCTGGAGGAGTTTGATGCCGTGCCAAACTCTGCTCTCTCCCCCAGAAGCTGCAGCAGCGATGCGCTGGGGAGCGCCGGCAGCCAAAGCACAGCAGCCCGGCACAGCGGCACCCGCGTAGATGACGGTGCCCAGGCGTGAGCCCCTGTCCCAGCGCAGCACTGCCGCCATGCCCCAACGGGATGAGGGCAAGAAGCCGCCCGTGGAGACGGCGCCGGAGCAGCGCTGGAAGCTGCAGGTCTTCTACCTGTGCTTCTATGGCTTCATGACGCAGATCCGGCCTGGGGAGAGCTTCATCACGCCCTACTTGCTGGGACCCGAGAAGAACTTCACGAGGGTGGAGGTGAGATGTGTGTATCCCCGCCTCGGCGCGTTCCTTTCAGCCACTGGCACCAGGGCTTGAGCTGTGCACCTCCCAGCACGGGTGCCAGCACCAGGGAGCACGGGGTTGGGTAGCTGCTATCCCCCATAGGCCTGGAAGCCGCTGTTGGGGTGCGGGGGGTTCTTGGTGGGATGGAAGGCTGAGCTTGCTTTGTGCTACTGGGGATGGGGGAAATGGGGGTGCATGGCTGGGGCTGCCGGTAGTGAGAGGGTTAGGCAGGATCTCCTCTGCTAAGCACTGCTGACCCTGCTCCCAGCCTCCATGGGAACGCCACGTTCCCAGCGCAGGAGGGGGTCAGGGCTCAGCTGGGCTGAGCACGCAGGGCCGAATTCCTCCCCAGGCCGGTCACACAGCACTCAGCCTTCCCCCACACATGGCAGGTGACTAACGAGATCATGCCGGTGCTGACGTACTCCTACATGGCGGTGCTGGTGCCCATCTTCCTGCTGACCGACTACCTGCGCTACAAGCCGGTGCTGGTGCTGCAGAGCCTGAGCCACATCTCCATCTGGCTTCTGCTGGTGCTGGGCACCTCCGTTTTGGCCATGCAGCTGATGGAGTTTTTCTACGGTGTCACCATGGCCGCACGCATCGCCTACTCCTCCTACATCTTCTCCCTCGTCGCCCCGTCCCGCTACCAGCGCATGGCCAGCTACTCCCGCTCCTCTGTCCTCCTGGGCGTCTTCACCAGCTCGGTGATGGGGCAGCTCTGCATCACGCTCGGCAGCATTTCCTTCCTCACCCTCAACTACGTCTCGTTGGGCTTCGTCACCTTCGGCCTGCTCCTCACCCTCTTCCTGGAGCGGCCCAAGCGCAGCCTCTTCTTCAACAGGGCCGAGGCGGCCTGCAATGGTGCTGCACCCACTGAGCTGGATAAGATGGCCAGTGGGGACAAGATGGACAGTGGGGACAAGGCAGACGGCAGGAAGGGAAAGATGGGGGGCTGGCGCCAAGCCGCGCTGTGCCGCATGCTGCGGGAGGTGTGCACGTTGGCCAAGCAGTCCCGGCTCCAGCTCTGGTCCTTCTGGTGGATCTTCAACTCAGCCGGCTACTACCTGGTGCTGTACTACGTGCAGATCCTTTGGAACGACATCTACCCGGCCAGGGAAAACCGGCGGGTGTACAACGGTGGGGTGGACGCCGCCTCCACGCTGCTGGGTATGTGAGTGGGGCATCCTCATCCCGTTGCGTGCCCTGGGGACGGGGTCTTCACGATGCTTTGTGTGGGGTGGGATGGCGCCAGGCTTTGAGCACATGGTGGAGCAGCATGGTGCGATGGTGAAGTGTTGACGGCGTTCCCTGTGTTCCCTTGCACAGGAGCCATCGCCTCCTTCGCAGCCGGCTACTTGAAGATCCGCTGGGCGCTGTGGTCGGCGCTGGTGATTGGGGTGGTGACAGCCATACAGGCGGGGCTGCTGCTACTCATGAACACCACTGGAAACATCTGGGTCTGCTACACAGCCTATGTCCTCTTCCGTGGCTCCTACCAGTTTCTGGTTCCCATCGCCATGTGCGTGGTACTCCCAGCCCTCGTTGGGAGGGCTGTGGGGTGTTTGTGTGGGGTGCTGGCAGGGCTGGTGCTCAACCCCTCCTCATCTCTCAGCTTCCAGATAGCTACCTCCTTATCCAAAGAGCTCTGCGCCCTTGTCTTCGGGGTCAACACATTCTTCGGCACCGTGCTGAAGACCATCATCACCATCATTGTGGCTGACAAGAGGGGCTTGGGCCTCTCTGTGCACCCCCAGGTAGGACGGGGCTGGGGAGCACCAAGGAGGACGGGTTCCCGTAGTGGCACAGGGCTGGCTGCAGAACCACTCTCTTGCAGTTCTATGTCTACTTTGGCTACTTTTCACTGCTGGCACTGGTCTACCTGATGATGGCCGTGGTGATGGTCGTCCGGCACAGCCGCCGTGCGCAGCCACCAGAGCTGATCCCCACTGAGGGCCAAGTGCAGGAGAAGAGCCCAGAGGCAGCTACCGTGCAAGCCTGAGTGCCAGCACCCAGTGAGACAGGATGGCAGGATGGACTGGCTCCTTTGGCACGGCTCAGTCAACTTTGGCTCAACCAATGAGTGTCACCGCCAGCATATGCTCCCACCTCCCATCTTTCTGACAGTGCTGAGCTTTCTGCCCCAGCCACCCTGTGACCAGCAAGATGCTGGCAGTACACGGCTAGCACCCAGCCCCCAGGGTCATCTTCCACCCCCTGCTTGGGGCCCAAACATACCCAGCAGATGTAGGATGCCCATTGCAGCACCAAAGGGTACCACACAAGGGGTACCCCCGTTGTCCTGCAGAGCTGTGCGGAGCCAGGCTACAAGAGGATAACGTTTCTTTATTCAGTGCCTTTAGAAAATGGTTTATGGGACACAACAGACAAAAAATATAAAGATCCACAGGCTTTAAATTGCATTAATTACACAAAATACAGTAGACTGTAAGAAATAGAGGCCGTGTGACTCGCACAGCTTTTATGGTAATAATTTCCATAAAATAATAAAAAGCTAGTTACAGATTTATCTTTTTTTTTTTTTCCTTTTCTGTTTTTTTTAGCACCTTGGATATGCCCACACCAATGCAAATGTCTTTGCTCCGCCGTGGCCCCTGGGGCACAATAGCGGTGGCCCAGCAGGTGCTGGCGGTGTCTGGCCTAGGAACCACATGTGGTCAACATGCACACACACGCAAACGCACGTAAACACATGCCAAGGGTATGCCGGGCCACCCCACTCCTGCCCTAGCTGTGGGGCTGCCCCACCGCCCTCAGAGGACCCCACTGAGTTGTGCTGAAAGCACCTGGGGCAGGGAACACACAGAGGGCTGGAAGCCTGACCCCAATACCGGGGTAGGCAGAAATGGAGCGGGGCCTTTGGGGCGGATATGGGGACCAGAACCCAGGGCTCACCTTGTGCCCAGCGAGGGATGGGTGATGGAGAGGAGGTGCAGGGCTGGGTGGGATGGGTCTTACCTGGGGAGGACGGAGACTGCAGAGGAGCAGGGCACTGGGGAACCCCACCACTGCCACGGGACGGTCCCTCACCTAGGAGGGGACAGCTGGGGTCCTCCTTCGGTGGGCTGGAGATGCCGCAGCCCTTGCAATGTGGATTTGGGGCTGGCCTTGAGCTCCTGGCCAGGACAGAGCAGGGCTTTCCAGCAGGTGACTGCACAGCATCTCCAAAACCTCTCTGCGGAGCATCCTTCCCCACCCAGCCTCCCCTGGTGAGTATTTGAGCAGGGAGGAGGAGCGGGTGGCTGACACAAGGGTATGGCTGAAGTGGTTAAACACAAGGGGTTAGAAAAGAAGTGGAACCAGAGGTACAGGAGGAAGAAGGCAGCCAGCCCACGGCTGCCCAGATCCTCAGGGATAGGGGTGAGCCCCCTCCAGGCCAGAGCAGTGGCAATGGCGATACTCTTTGGCTTTAGGTCTGGGGCAGAAGAAACCCAGTGGGGTGAAGGCAGGAGCGTGGCGGGGAGCAGAACCTCCCCAAGGAGGTGTGCAGTGCTCAGAGAGCAGCGTCATTTTTTGGCGGCAGTCATGAAGCTGTTCTCAATGCAGAGGACGACAAAGGCATGCTGACAGCTGCTGGCTGACTGCTCCAGGAGCTTGCCTGAGCTCAGCGAGGAAGCCTGCCCGCTGGTATCACGCTCGTCCGTCCGCCATGCCTCACAGTAGCTCTCGGGCAGGCGACGGCCTTTGGCATCCGAACCATGCCAGATGCTCTTCTGTGGCCTGAAAGACACAGCAATGTGAGGCTGCTGTGATGGGATCCAGTCCCCAGCCACCCTCCCTGCAGGGATGGCCGGGGCAGGATGCAGCATGCAATACCCAATGCTCAGGGGTGGTCAGCACAGGACGCAGTGCGAGGTACCTGGTATGTCCACTCCCACCCCGTCCCCTCTCTGCCTGCAACAGGCACATCCTGCACCCTGGCAGGCACAGTGGCCCTGCACTCACCATGCTGAGTCCTGCAGGATGTCCCGGCCATCAAAGGAGAGGATGCGGGCTCCAGCCCTCAGCGGTGCCTCGCTGCCAGTGAAGAGGGCCTCCCAGTTACTGAAAAGCACCTCGTCCTGGGGGCAGAAATGGGGATCAGCCCAACCCAAGAGTTTGCATCTCCAGAACTCGGACCTGTGGCTCCCAGCAGCCCCAAGCAGGGGATGCTCTGCAGTCACCATTCCTGCCAAGCGGTCCGATGGCAGCTCTGGGTGCCACAGGGAGGGACACGCCACAGTGAAGGGGCTGGGGCCGTACCCGGAGGTTGACGATGGGCACAGAGGTGCGGTCAGCCCTGCGCACGATGCTGTACAGGTCCTGCAGGCGGGAGGAGAGGAAGGCACGGAAGGTGCCGGCCAGCCCGACCTGCCGGGCTTGCTGGAAGCACTGGAAGTCAGCGCCACGAATGCCACGCATGCCGCCGCTCAGCGGGGTGTTCAGGGCCACCAGGTGCAGCTGCAGAGGAGACGAGCAATGCTAGGGACACGTCATGCCCCACACCATCTCCCTACCCAGGGCAGGGACCGGCGGCACTCACAGCAGGCTGGAAGTCCTGGTGCACGTGGGCAGCCACGGGGGCTGGATCCGGCCAGCGGTGGATGTAATAGCTGTTGAGGAGCTCGTGCTGCTGCAGCAGGGGTGGCTGGGGCAGGCGGTGCTGGTTGGCCACCACCTCATCCCCACGCCAGGGCCGGGCAGTGGGCGGGGGGTTGTGGTTGCGCAGGGGATGCACGGGTTGCTGGGCCCCTCCGTAGTGAATGCTGGGCAGCTTGTCGTATACCTCATTGTCCTGAAGCAAAAGGGAGAGAGCGCTCAGGGCTGCCCAAATCTGTGCAGGGGACATGCAGGTGACAGGGATGGGACTCACCAGTGCCGAGCTGGGGACCAGGGTGTGCTCCTCCAGCTGCAAGGACACAGTGTGTGAGAGCAGAGCTGCTCTTCCCTCCCCAAGAGCATCTCCAGAAGGATGGCACCAAACCCCAGCTGGAGCAGCCTAGTGCCACCTGTCCCCACTCACCAGCACTCTGCGGAAGCCCCCACGCAGGCGGACGTAGAGCTCCTGCCGGTCAGTCAGGAAGATGAGTCCTCCCTCAGGCAGCTCGTGTGCAGCACTCAGCATCGCCTGGTACGTGGGCATGGCACGCAGCTGCAGGCATACAGAGACAAGGCTTAGCCTTGGCGTGGGGACATGGTGACACCTTCAACCCACCCCAGCCCCAACTCACCCCCAGAGACGTCCCGCTGGTGCCTGGTGGCCCAGGGGGGCCTGGTGGTCCAGGGGGGCCGGGGATGCTGATCGCTGGGTGGAAGGAGAGTGAGATGGCTTGATGTCCTGTGTCGGAGAGCAGGCAGAGACACAGGGCAGGAACTCACCTTGTCTGTGGGGACCTGGGAAAGAGGGCGGCCCGGGGGGGCCAGGAGGGCCTGGGGGGCCTTGCCGCCCTTCGTAGCCAATGCCAGGGGGTCCTTGTGGTCCAGGAGGCCCCGGTGGCCCAACAATGCTGTCCCCTTTGGGACCCTGGATAGGGTGAAAGAGCATCCCTGAAACAAAGGCACAGCCCCAGCACCCAGAGCCTTGCTGCCCCTCGTACGATGGGGTACTCACCATCAGGGTGTGGGGTATTCATGGCAGGGTGTGCAGTACTCACCGGTGGACCTGGGTAGCCCTGGGGCCCTGGTGGCCCAGTGACACTGGGGCCATAGAGTGTGGAACCACCTGGCTCGCCCTTCTCTCCTTTGGGACCCGCCTCTCCCTTGTCACCCTGTGGTACAGCGTGCCCTTAGGACAAGCAGTTGGGTGCACCCTACAGCCCCAGATGGCGCCAGGCCACATACTGAGGACATCCCCATGATGCAGAACTTACCCGCAGGCTTGCACTGAACCGGCTCAGGTCGTAGGGGAACTGGCCTGGGGGGAGGGAGAGAGATTGTGAACACAGAGCAGCCACCACTCACCTCTGTCCATGGGGATGTGCCACTCACCTGGGGGCCCCGGGGCACCCACATCTCCTTTCTCTCCCTTTTGACCTGGAAACTGGTGAAAACCTGTGGGGAGCACATGGGTGATACCATCTCAGAGGTGCAGCCCCACGGCCACCACTCCAACAGAGGCACCCTTGGCTGGGATCCCCCAGGCTGCCAGGAGCTGCTGGGGTGCAAAACTCCCCTTACCTGGGAAGGCGGGACGGCTGGCATCGCTGAAGCCCTGCAGGGACACAGAGAGCAGCTGCTGGTGCCAGCCCACATGCCAGCTCTGTCAGATAGCACCGGGGTGCCCTCTCCAACCCCACCAAGCACCGAGAGGACCGCAGCACTACTCACATTGTTACTGTCATAGACCACACTGCCAGGTGGCCCAGGAGGGCCGGGGGGACCTGGGGGGCCAGGAGGACCCTGGAGGAAGAGAGAAGATGCATCAGGGTCCTGGAGAGGTTCCCATAGAGGACTGGGCCCTGTGCCAAAGGGATGGAGGACCCTTCGGTCCCCTGTCCTCCCTTCCATGCAGCTGCACTCACCCGCAAGCTCAGCATACCACCGATATCCACTGGGTCGCCCTTCTCACCCTTCAGCCCATTCATGCCAGGACGTCCCTGAGGAGAAGCACATCAGCTTCACTCCTGTCCCCATGTCATGGTACAAAGGACAGAGCTGGTGTTCCTGCCCTTGCGTTCCCTCCCCAGTACTGCTTCTATTTCCACCATCCCGTGTGGACACAATGGTTTGGGGTCAGGAGGGCATGCTGTGGGAGCACCAAGGAGGAGGCAGTGGCCCAGAGGCAGAGGCAGGGATAGAAAACAAACCAAGAATGGGTCTTACAGGTCTGCCTGGAAAGCCGATTTCTCCCTTCATCCCTGCTCGCCCATGGGGGCCCTGGAGGGAGAAGAGAGAGGACAGGAATGTTCAGTGCACCAGAGAAGCCCCATCCCTCCACGGGCACAAGGAGGGTAGCAATGCTGACTTACAGATGGGCCCATCGGTCCTTGCAGCCCAGGCTCCCCCTGTGGAAATGTCAGACAGGGAAATGTCATCAGCATCAGGACAGCAGCACCACAAGCAGCACCGTGCTCCAGCACGGTACACTCACCTTCTGTCCTTTCATGTTGGCAGCAACAATGGTCCCATCCGGGCTGATGATGACGCCAGGCTCTCCCTTCTCTCCCTGCAAGAGACATACAAATGGAGCACACACCCAGTATCATAGGGCTGGCACCAGCCAGAAGAACGACCAGAAGCTGCTACCTTCATCCCTGGTGCACCTTGGATGCCTGGTGATCCTGGATCCCCCTTCGGTCCCACTGGGCCCTATGCAGAGGAGCAGAGCCCACATCAGCTACCAGCTGGTACCCAGGGGCTGCCCCACTGCTGGCACCCAGACACTCACCGGGAAACCAGCATGTCCTGGTCTGCCCTGCAGGAGGAGCACACAGTGAGCAAAGAGGTGGCTGTCCATGAGCACTGCTGAGGTATGGACAGGGGAGGTATGGCTGTGGAGAGGTACCTACCTCTGGGCCTGGCAGAGCTGCC